TGTCTTTGGGGCGCCCCCGCGAGAATGAGGGGCGGCGAGAGGACAAGGCCCGCCTCGCGCCAAGCAGGCAACAGAGCGCAAGTGCCCCAACGGCTTGTCGCGCCTGGTCGCCCTTGGGTGGCGCCTGAAAAATAAATGGCTACCTGCCTGTGGACCGTGTCCCCCGCGCCGGCCAGGGGGAGATCGAATGTAGCAGGTGAAAATGTGGCCGAGCCCGCTGCCGGAGGCTGCAGGGGGGCGCGCGCACACCTGGCTGGCCGCCTGGCCCCCCCTCGCGGCAGACCACCAGGCCGGGGAAGGGCGAACATGCGCATGTCCCCCGCTTGGGCTCGGCCTGGCATCCAAAAAAAGAGCAACGGGCGCTTGCTCATTGTCCCGCCGCGGCCACCGCCCCCGTGAACACGCCAGCGCGGCCAGGAAATAAAACCACCCAGGCGCAACGTCTCCCCCCCCTCCCCGCCCCGAGGGACCGGCGGAGTGAGCACCGCGTAAAGGAAGAACAGCTCCGCCAGCACGGCGCCCAGAGTACTGCCAGAGCCGGGCCCCCCCCCCCCCCCGGGAGGAGAGACGCGAGGCCCACACAAACAGCCCGGGGCAGGGCCCGCGTGGGGGGGGCATCGACCTCCGGGGGGGCGGAGCGGGGGGCGCCGCCGGCTTCGGAGCTTCGGGAGGCGCGGGGCACACGGGCAGGGGGACCATCACACATACTGGCCCCCATTTTCTGGCCAGCCCCATCGCCTGGGAACACCGCTGGGGGAGGGGGACCGAGGGGCGGTCGCGACAAAGGAGCGGCCAGAGCCTCGCCTCCCCCCCCCCCCAAGCCGGAAGAGGGAATAATTGATCCGGCCGGCATTCACCCTGCCACGGAGGACGTGGCAGGGACCGGCCCGCCCGCCCCTGGTCGGGGCGTTGCTACCTGCTCCAACACATTCTCCCTCGGCGCGGCCACGAATGTCACGGTTAACGGATGGGTTATTAACTCAAGTAGAGAGAGCCCCAGTTTGCATGCCGTCTTCCCGCGGGCAAATGCCGGCCGAGCCGGCAACAGCGCGCCCACCCCCCCGGGCCCCCCCCCCCCTCCGGCCGATGGCCGCCGTCTCGCCCTCACCATCTCGCGCACTCTCCGCCAGGAAGAAGATTGACCACAGCAATGGGTCTTCCTCCTCTCGTCCCCTGACCATGCGCTGCTCCCCCCCCCCCCCTTCTCCCCTCGACCATGGGCGTGAGCTGAGGCAAACATACACCCCTGTATTAGGCTGAGACAAGCGGAGGGAGGCCCAAAACAGAGGAGCTAATTATCCAGGGCCCGGTTGAAGCCACCGACACGGTTCATGTACTGGCGGTAGGTGCGCATCTTCTGAACGTGCACCGCGCCGTCCACCTGCCCGGCAACCTGCTTGCCCTGAGTGGAGGAAAAGCCACTGAAACCCAGGAATGCCTTCATGGCATCCTCCTCGGACATGGGCTCCTGGTTGTGGGGGGTCTGCTTGGCATGGTGCCCGGAGGTGCGTCCAGCCGGGCCATCTGGTTCGGCAGCAAAGAGTCGGAAGAGATGTCAGTCAGTGTTTGTCACCTGGGCGGAGAGGAAGAGAGGGGAAGAGAGGGGAAGAGAGGGGAAGAGAGGGGAAGAGAGAGGGAGAGAGAGAGAGAGAGGGGGAAATAGGAGAAATAGAACAACTAGAACAAATAGGACAAATAGGACAAATGGGACAAATGGGACAAATGGGACAAAAAGAAGGAGTACGAACCCCCGCGAGACGAGGCTGAAGAGCTGGGGGCGGCGAAGCGCGGCAGGGGAGAGGGACTGCGCGAGTACCGGCGGCGGCGCTGGTGCGGCGACCGGTCGCGGCGCGAGGGGCTACGGTCGCGGCCACTGCGCGAGGAGCTACGGTCTCGGTCGCTGCGTGAGGGGCTACGATCCCGGCCGCCGCGCTCGTAGTACCTGTCGCGGCTGCGGTCGCGGCTGCGACTACGCCCGCCCCGAGGACGCCCCCGATCATAATCGCGGTCGCGGCCACGATCACGGCTCCGGTCGCGGCCGCCGCGGTCGCGGTCCCGGCTCCGGTCCCGACTACGGTCCCGGCTGCGGCCACGCTCGCGGCTCCGGTCCCGGCCACGCTCGTGGTGCCGGCCCGGGTCGACGGCCCTCCCGGAGTGAGGGCGATCATCACCAGAGCGGTCATAGCGACGCGCGGACCCGCCACGCGGCCCGGGATCTGACATCCTGTGGAAGGCTGGGAAGGGCGAGAGATCGATGAGGGGGGGGGAGAGGGGG